GTTTGTAACGCTGAATCGTTTGAATAGAAAATCGCAATTTTATTACCCGTAATCACGATCAGTCATTGAAACACTCAACTTTCGTAATCACTCGTTCCACATTGGAGAGAAAAAGAGCGTAAGAGATAAAGAGAGAGACAAAGAGAGAGAAAAAAAAAGAAAAAAAAACACATATAGATGAACTTAGTAGACTTCTCGTATCGCACGATAGACGTGACTGACATCGAACGATACTACATGCTCCATTGAAAACCTGCGCACATCTAACAACACATACATGACATCATATTCACCAGCACATTCGTTTTATGGCAGCAGCGAGAGTAGTGGAGATTAATCGGAGAATCAAACGTGACAGGGTTGATAATGGATCGGTAAGGCGATGGGAAAACGCGGCGAAAAAATTTCGTTTTCCGTTTTCTGGATATATTCAGACAGAATGCGATCTGCTGGAACCTATAATTATCCTGAAACTCGTATTGATATTAAGCTACAGATGAAAAAAAAAAGAAAAAGAAGCGAACGTTTCTTTCCCTGATGCAACGATATTGTGACGATTTAATTACATTTGCTGTTCGATGTTCAATTTTTTGATACGATCAAAAATCCTCTTGATATCTAAATTTGATCTCGATTGTAATAATCGAGAAAATATTGAAGAGAAGGGAAAATATTGAATGTGTGCATATTTTATAAAATCTTGGATTAAGCCTTGTGTTGAAGTGAAATTATTGTTGAGATTATTAATTTGGAGTTGGTTAAATGATAGAAGATAAATTTTTATTATAATAATATATGTATAAGTTAATTTAAGTTTTGCATTTTTAGATCAGTCTAATAAGATATATATTTTCAAAGAGGACATGTTGTTACTTATTATAGGATATTTGATTTGAAAATTCCTTAGAAGAAAAAAAAGTCAATTTTTTAAATTGGGATTTATATTACTTACAAAGTGAATTTTTTCGAATTATTTCTTCGTGGTGTAGTGATATTAATGAAGCTATATTTACTAATTAACGAATTAAACTATTATCACGAAACATTGTGTTATACATAACTAGATTTATTTTAAACCCTCAGTAGCTATTTTTAATTATTTTTATAATAAAAAGTAAAGGGGATAAATTAATTTTTCTCTAAAAAAAAACACGAAAATTTTATACATTATATAATAAATTTATAATTAATAACTAATAATGAATATATTGTAAATTTCTGCACTATAAAACTATAATTCCATATAATTTATAATACCAAAAAAATAATTATCATTAAATGACAGCCACTGAGGATTAATTTTAAACATAAAACATTTACTCAAAACTCGACTACCTTATTTCTTTCTCTCACGAATATTTCTCTATGCTATAATAGCAACAACAATTTAAATAAATTGAACGCGTATGCGCTCATCTACTACGACACACTTGACCACGATATATTCATTCAAATGTTACCTTGTTCTTGCTTGTTCTTTTCCATTGCCATGTAAGCGATACGCCGTTCCTGAAGTTCAGGCGAAGGTATCAACCCCGCGGAACCGGCCGCGTTATCCTTCTGCGCTTGCCACCAATAATGATCGTCCTTGCTGATGATCTGCAGGATGTCGCCGGTTTTGAACGCGATTCCGGCTTGAGCGCATGGTATCAGCTCATCCTCCAACGGATCATAGTCAAATTGCGCTCGAACGAATATCTGTCGGTGCAGAAAGATCGTAATATTAATATTTTTCAACGTGTTCCGTGGACAATTCGTTTCGATTGGTTGCTGTATCGGTGATCCTATATGAGATCGGTGAAATGACATCGAGAGTTTTTGAATATTGTTGAAATGTAATGTGTAAAGAGATGTGCGGGATTACGAGTTCGAGTCAAATTGGAAAAATTCGGATTAGATCTCGATAATTTCTTGGTGTTACTTGAGATCGCGAAACTTTTGATTCTGGACGAATCGCGACGTGAAATCGGCAATGATCGAACACAATCGGTTCGAAAGGGATTGAAACGTGACTATTAAAGCCTTCGACCGATCACATCCGATTACAGTCGAGTTGAAGTCGGAAATTGCACTTTTCTGAATCGTCCCTGAATCGAGACTTTCGAAATCCCGAAAATTGCCAACAATTATCCAAAAGATCCTTATCCGAATCTTTCTTGAAATTCGATTTCTCGAATTATACGGGACAATCCTGCACACCTTTAATAATGTGATGCGGAAAGACACAAAGGAAAATCAGATAATAAAAAAAAAAAAGAAGAAGAAGAAAAAACAAGAACGTTAAACGGTGCAGAAAATCGGTATCGTGACATGGTATCGTTAAAATTTCAGGTGAGGGGAAGGGGGGAGAACGATATTTTACAATTTTCGCACTCAGATCACCGAAACCATTTAGGTTAATAGAAAATCACATCAAAGGTAAATTACTTGTTGGCCTAAAACGCGTTGGCGAAACGTTCGTTCTACGACGTTATCGATCGCTGTGCCGATGCTGCTTACGTTGGCTTAGGCTATTGCTATTGCAAATTAATTAAATCGCTGCGAAAAAGAAGCGGAGAATGCGACAAACGTAAGCTCGCTGGCGACAGTTATTGCAAACAGCGTGTACACTTTCCTTTCAATGGAACGGCTATTTTTGCCGGGAACATTTACCCCGGAGAATACATTCCATATCTTTCTCCGTTCTATTTTAATAGCATCCGATGATTATCGTTGGAGCGTGTAAGCGCAACGCGAAATAGGCATTTACAATGGAATTTTGTATTCAACTTCAATAGCGATCGATGCGTAGTACGAATCAGTCACCGTTTCAAGCAGCGAAAAACACTTTACGAAAGAGAATCAATTTGTTTCATTGTTAATCCCATCATGATTGTAGTTTTAATATATTATATATCTTTAAAATGTTCATCTTTGGATTATTCATTACATATAATATGAAATAATTGTATTGAAATATATTTCGTAATATGTTTCTTTTTTTTTTTTGTCAATTTTGATAATGCAATTTATCGTGAAAATAAAATGAAAATAATAAACTGATAGCAAATAAGATTTTTTTTTCCAAATTTCAATCTTCGTTAGATTAATTTATTTCTGGAACTGGCGCAGCAGGAAAATTAATTTACTTTTGATTAATAAAATATTGAAATTTCATGTGAACTTAAATTTCATTAAATTTATTCGATATAAATTTTCCTGATATAACGATTTTTGAATTTCAATTAACAAGATTCAAAAATGCAATATAAAATTAATATTTGTTTAATTTTCGTATCAACCATGAAAACGTTTTAATTCAATGCGAGTAAATGAAAAAATTTTTTATTTTCACTCTTGTTAAATAAAAATTATCAAACTATAGTTAATTTTTTCTGAATAAACAATTAACAGTTAATAAAATAAAATAGTTAATAACTTTCAATAATCAATAAATTTCGAAATAATCAAAAAATTTCACCCTCTCTATCGATCCATTTCGAAACAAAAAAATTATTTTCATTTTTCAAAAAACATTCAAGGAACCAAATGATTTATCTTCTGTAGAAACTCGATTAAAACAACAAACATAAATCTCATTTCGTAAAGCGTTCACGATGCGATACACGATATTAATTCGCAATCATTGACAATCCATTAGAGAAAAACAAAAAAAAAAAAGAAAGAAAAAGAAAAATATTGAATCGCTGGTTTTCAAAAGTCCATCATCACGTGTGACACGACTTAAAAAGCTATAATCGTTTTATATTTACACGTACATTCGTAACAAGGATTCGTATGAAAAAGTTGAACGACACTAGAACGTAGACAATTATACGATCTCGTTGTCATTATCAAATCGTATTAAAAACCAGTGCAACGATCGTTCATCTAGCGATGCATATACATGGACAAAGTGACACGCCTCTTTTTTTTTTTTTTTATTCTGTACATTCATTCTCTTTTTTTTTTTTTTTTT